CAAGCGATGGCCCCGCCCTCGCCCCGCCCCCGGACCGAGGCTCCGCCCCCGGTGTGGCTGCAGATCCGGGCTCTGGGTCCCTGACTCAGCAGCCGCTCCGCCCTCGCGGTCTACAGGGCTGCGCCCGGCGGCCGAACTATTCACACCTGCCTACTGCCCGCAGGCCTCGCTCGGCTTCCCACCGCCCTGTGTGCCCTTTCCCATCACGTCAGCATCCTCGGCCGCCCCTTCAGCTTATTCGTACTCTTTCCTCAAACCTTTAGTCCTGTTCTAAGCTCGTGTCGGCGTCTTCTCTTTCCTACCGCAGGGTCTACACTTCTCACTCACTATGTTGGTCTCCCTTCTTCTTGCCGACCCCTTCTGTCCCCTTTCCAGATCCTCTCCCCCCTCAGCTGGAGCCTCAGGGTCCCCGTGCGTCACTGGCTGTATATGCGCTCTGTAGCTCCTACCTCCCGGGCTCTTGCTGTGCCAGGCGTCCTAATTTCTCTCACTCTTGGATCCCTGCTGGCAGGGTCACGTTTTTTCTTTATCCACATTTTGCGCATCCTTTAGGTTCTCACTATTACACACACTTAAGATGAAGTTAGGGTATTCAACAATTGCGTATTCGCGGTACCGCTTACATGAAGAGTCACAGTGAGCAATTAAAAATCATAAGGCAAGGCGACACAGTAGTGACCTTCTTCTGACTAGCCTAGTTCCACCTACACTTTCCTTTGTGCAGTAGTAATTGACCACTTTTTACATTGGGGCTAACAATTCACCCATTTTGAATGTCTTTTCCCCTTCAACCTAACTTCACTAAAGCTTTTATTTACTCAGTACACAGTAGAAACAGCACCAGGAACTTTTAAAGCTTCGGGTCCTTATCTGTAAAATGAGGAATTCGTGTCTCTTCCTCTTTTTTAATTTCCTCAGATTCTGGAAATTTTGGATTTTGTATTTGGATGGAGGTTGTTGGTTAAGTGATTAAAGCAAAGGCAAAACATGCTATTGTAACTGGGTATCTGGTTACTTTAGTAACTTTTTTTTTTTTTTTTTGCCTGGGATTGAACTCAAGGGCACTTGACAACTGAGCCACATCTCCAGCTCTATTTTGTATTTTATTTAGATTTCTTTTTAATTTTTTATTTGTTCAAAATAGTTATACATGACAGCAGAATGCATTTCATTATACACAAATGGAACTCAACTTTTTATTTCTCTGGTTGTACACTATGTAGAGACAGCATCTCACTGAGTTGTTTAACTTGCTTTTGCTGAGTCTGGCTTTGAAGCAGTGTTCTTCCTGCCTCAGCCTCCAAAGCTACTGGGATTATAGGCGTGCCTTATCTTGCCAGTTGTGGTAATTTCATTTTTAAAACTGCAACTGCAAGTTGGCAGAGTTAAGCTGTGATGCAAAAATGAATTAAGTGTAGGCCTTTAGATTTACATGCACTAGTTGCTTTAAGTTATGGGAATAAATATTATTTTCCTTAAACAATTGAAACTATCTTATAAACAGAGTACACACTCTATGTGGACCTTCAAAAGTTAGAGCCATTGTTTAATTGAACAGTATTACAAGCATTTGAAAACCTAATAAACCATCTGTCCATCCACTTTCACACAAATTGAGAAACAGAAAAGAGTAAACGCCAAAAGCTAAAAGTGAGTATTCCTAATTGCACATGAAACTATGTTGAGAGCCACAGCCAAAGGGGCCCCAGCAAACTTCCAGCTGCCAGCAAGCTTCAGACTGCCCCAGCAACATCTAGCTGATTGGCTCCTCTGCGGTGATGTTCATTGGGCTGTTTCCCTGCCCTTCAGA